AGAATGAAGAAGAAGAAGAAGAAGAAGAAGAGAAGAAGAAGAAGACGAAGAAGAAGAAGTAGAAGAAGAAGAAGAAGATTAAATTAAACAGGCAGCGCGCGCGAAAGACTTTAAGAGCCGGCACGACGACAACGGTCTGAAAAGGTTCTCCGCGCGATTTTAAATATCAGCCGAGAGCTCGCCAGTGCGCGTGCGCGATAGCGAGCACGCATGCGCACTCCGCTGTCGAGCACTTTCTAATTTTACTGCGACTAGCCGCGTTAGTTTACGCCGGAATCGAACCGTTCTCTTTCTCTGTTTATAAACCGTGGCCGGCCGGCTGCGATACCATGGAATGCGTCGAGTCGTTACTCGCGCTGGAGAACGCAGGGTGATTTTGGGGGTCTGCGGAGGATTTCATCCTTTGATTTTGTAGTTTGCAGTAGATCGTTGGGCCAGCTTTTTAAGGGACGCATTCTGTACAAGCTTTGCTTTGTCGAGATGACAATATTTGACGCTAGGTTTATGTCGATTTTGATTGTAGCAGGTGGTTATGAGTATGAATCTTAATCGGGTAGGTTTAAGTAATTTCCGGGATCTAAATCGAGGAACATTAATTTCTGTAGAGACAATAGGATTAATTGCGCGATGAACGTCCATAAACCGTTAATCGAAAGTGCCCCTTCGTTGTATTTAGAATTGTTCTCCTTGTCAAAGTGTTTTGCCAGGGCAATTACCTGCGAAGGTATAAAACTTTAATACGTTGTAAGTAGCGCTATGTTTAAAACACTTGTTCGAGAAGATAACTATCGTAACCGGAGTCTCTAAAACTAAATGGCCGCCTTCGTGTAACGAGGGTTGCAAAAACGTTAATGGAGCTTGACTCGCATTCCAGATTACCAGAAAGAAAATTGGTTTGTGTATTGAATAATCTCGCTCGTTATTGTTCCACCACCGATACATACGAACCGACCCCCTCGCGACTGTGATAATTACAAGTGAGCGTCATCCGGGATCGGAACTCGAGCGCGGTGATAAGCCGAGGAACACCGCGATAGATCGAAAGCCGGCGACGAGACAGTTAGGTATTCGTTAACGACCACTTTAAGCGAATATATAGTATGACGGCGTCGTGATCCGCTGGAAACGTCCGCGCGACACAGACCGGGTAACGGAATCATAACCGTGGCCATTAAAGAGATGTCGGAGTGGCCCGTGTTCGAGTAACAGCCTTCGTTAATTTGCACCCGGTAATTTACGAGGTTTGGCCGACCTCTTCGCGCACTTTCCACCGTGGACGGGGAGCAGTTCGATACCAGACGGGTCAAGGAACATTAGTCGTCGATTACTTTTATCCTTCGTTCCGTTCAATCTCTAAGAAACCTTTTCGATCATTCAGCATTTCTTATTAACGCTAAAACTACCGATTAGTTGAATTGACTTTTTGAAATTCCTCTATAGAAACTCGAAGAGTGCATCTATTAATACTCTAACTGATTTTCAATTCAGCTACCGTATTGCTACATCAATTATCCTTAATCATTTCTCGTAGAAACATCTGTTATCCTTTTAATAATTAGAAAAAGAAGAAATTAGCAACGGGTCATTTTGACTAATCTAGCAGCCTTCGCGTTAACCGAAAGACAACCACTTTGAATCTCATCGAATAAATTACTCTTTCCACTGAAATTCAACTCGATTCAAACTAAATTAAAAGATAAATATTCAAAGTGCCGTAAACTATTCCAGTAAAATGTATAGAGTTAATTGGCATGAATATCCGCGTGACTTCTTTTCTAGGTCTCCGTTCTCCGAAAAATATTCATCGATCCTGTTTCCCGTCGGAAAATAAACAACGTGGAGAGATTCACTGATTCCAATTGAATCGCTGTGTATGTAGGACCGTCGAGTTCGCCGGTTTCGAACACGCGGAAGAATGTTCTCGCGCGGCACTCCAGGAAGCGTCTCTCTCCCGGTGTATCCTTGAGCAGTTTCAGGTTTCATTTTCGAAATACGTTCGAGTCGGTAACGGCATAAATACGCGGGCGCACGGAATGGCTAATAATAGGAAGATTTGGCTTGGCAGCCAACGACGCTGGCCTGCACCCGCTTCCTGTCTTCCATGCGGCCGTATCTTCCGTTAATTTCTGGTCGCGGCGCGCGGTCCACGGTGAACCAAAGCTGTCGGGCCGAATCAACGCACCGGTCCTCGTATTCCTGTCGTTGGTGACGCGAATTACGCGGCCGACCCCCCCGTCGGAGAAGAATAGATTTCCTTGTCCAACGAATGCGGAGCAAATCTAAGAATAGCCCGCCCGCTGCCGTTTCAGGAAAGGATCTCCGGCTGCATACTTTCGTAATCGCCGGACTGCGGATGCTCCGCTGACGGCACGCTGGTGTCCAAATACACGGAATTATTAATAACCGGATTCGTTCGGGAACCGCGGAAAAACAATTATCGTTTCCGTTTCGCCGGGACCCGTTGCGATCGCCGTGCGAGCGGAGCCTCGCGATGGCTAATATTAGGGATGTTTGGATTCTGAGTAATCGGATTTCTTTCAAGTATCTGGAAAGAGTAACCTTCTGCGATGGGTATAAAAAGGATGGGAGTTTTGTGTAAGATTGTAATTTAGGGGAAATCGAGGAAGTTTGGAAGAAGGAACGGGAAAATGATAAGATTGATTTGGATTAGGGGATGAATTGAGTTGAAATTTGTTGATTACAGGACATGAAGGACGTCTATCTGTTTATCTAAATATTTATCTGTCTTGTTTGTTAATCAAATTCGTTCGAAAGCTCACAATTATAATCGTGATCTTCGGATTACAATTTCTTCGGCACATTTCGGTTCCTTATCTCCGATTTCTAAAAGAGAACGCCAGTGCGCTAGCCATCTGCAGTCTAAGCGATCTTCCCGGCGTTCTAATTCGGTCGTCGAATTAAGACTCGTTTCCCTCCTTCTGTCTTCATCCTTTAATTAAGACCGAGGAAAATTGTTCGTACAGAAATACCGGATGACCTTCTTTCCGCTCGGGACTCCGGGGACAGAGGCGAAACCGATCGACCCGGTCAGAACTTTTCCCGTGAATGACCGTGCGAATTGCCGTATGGAGCGTCGATCTATTATTTGCGTCGCGTAAATCAAGGGAATCAAGGGGTTGAGTGGCGAGTGGAGGGGCAGGGCCGGTTCCCCTCGAATTCCGACGGTGAGTTTTCGGCCCGAGGTCGGTCCGAACCGACCCCGACTCGGCTGTCGAATAACGAACGCTCCTCTGGACCGTTCTGTTTATGGGGCCACTCGCCGCGAGCCTCGCCTTCGCATAACCATAAACCTCTCCAGCGTTTCTTTCGACAGAATTTCATCGCGTTGCACGCGTCCCTCACCCGTGGCGCTGGTAATGGTTTAAAAAATCGGAGATACCGTTCCCATTTTTGGGCCGTCGAGAGGAAAACTGGTGTCGCGTTTGGTGAAACTGCACCACTGGTTCAGTGGCATAAAGTCTAGCTTCGCTAAAGTTATAGGTGGGAGAAACTTCCAGTCGTCGTTATCGTTGTTAAGGAACTTTGAATATTTAACCAAGAATGTGTTGAAATAAGATTCACCATTGTCACGGGAGAATAAGTAATATCGTATAGAACGTTAAGAATTCTGATAACGATGGACATGTCGACTAACATCACTGTTCTCCGTTCACAGGTGTCCACGGTGTGACTGTGCGAGGATCGAGGGCGCGCCATAATGGCGGAGGTGGCGACGAAGAAGTCGATCAGCGTCGTAAGTAACAAGAAGAGCGAGGTGTGCAGTGGTGTGCAGTCTAACAACGGTTTGCTCGATTTGGATAACCTAACAGCGAGTAACAATCAATTAATATCGTTGTGCGACACGAACGACGACGAGGACGACCTAATACTGACTAACAACACGCGTAACGAGCTTGACACGGACGACAAGAGCCTGCAGGAGCTGATCGAGAGCGAGCTGGCGCTGAGGATCAGCTCCAGCAATAATCAGGACACTGTCGTCGACAACGATGACAACGAGGAACCAGCTAGCCAGCCGGAAACTGTGAAGAGGATTGTGTTGGACAGGCGACAGGACACTCTGGACATAAACACGGAGTTCATAGTCGCGGAGGCGGAGCACTGTGCGCTGATCGAGGAGCCATACAGTTACCAGAACGGCCACGTGTCGCCGGACACCAAGATCTCGAGTTCCTCCTACGAGGAGACCGTCAAGCCGGAGCCGGTCGTGACAGGCTTCCGGGACGAAGAGGAGGAGCAGGTATTCGCGGAGGAGCCGGAAGTTGGCAGCGTGATAGTCGTCGAGAAAACAATCAACGACGAGATCGATCGGTCTACGTGCGAGCCCGCCGACGACGGCAGGTTATACGATCAAAACCAGGAGGACGACGAGATCCCGAATGACTCCGTGCCCAGGGCAAGCGAGACCGAAGACAGGCCATCGGAGATGCCCACCTTAGCCGACGAGTCCTTCGACCCTGTCCACGGAGTCGTCCCGGAGGAAGAGACCACGATGCCAGCCTCGTGCGTGGACAAGTACCAAGAGGAAGAGGATGTCCAGAGTATGGTGCTAGAGGACAAGGAGTCAGAGGCGATGCAGACAACTGACAGCAGACCGGAAGATGACAATTCGCGGATGAGGAACGTGGACACCTGGTCGGAGCAGGTAACGTTTCAAGAGGGTCAACAGGCCGGCCAATTCTCGGACAACTTCGACCTGTGCCAGCAGAGCCTGGAGATCTGCAACTCCAGGGAATTCGAGGAGGGATCTTCGTTGTTTCAGACTGGCAAATCTGATGACATCTTCGAGCCAGTTATGACAGAGCCTGGCAAGGAGGATACCGATGATGTGAACGAGCTGCCGGTCGAGGAAGAGTCCAAGGTATCGTTAGACGACAGATCTTCTAGCTCGGTGGACGAGAAAATACCAGAGGACCCAGAGGACTGCTCGACTCCTGTGAAACCTGTCGATGATCCCGAAGACGACGCGCAAGAAGTGTCCACCATGCAGTCGAGGAGCTTCGAAGACGTGACCTTGAGCCACTCAGAGGCTTCGACCGATGCCGTGAGCACTCAAGAGTTCATAGACACCGAACGCCGCGTGCTCAGCGAGGAGATCGACGCTGAACGCCTTCAGGACGAGGTCCAGGCTCCAGACAGTCCCTGTCTTGAAAAGATAGAGCCTCCGGCGAATTTGCTAGATATAGACGAGGAAATAGCGACGAAAGAGGATAACGCGGATGAACAGAACGCGATTGCGGAATCGTCCAGCGAGTTGTCGGTGTCCGAGCCGACGTTCATCGAGAAAACGGAAGTGAACGTGTCCGATGGCAACGCGACCGCCTATTCCGACGCGAGGTGCCTGGAACCGGGCACCGATTCGGAGCTGATCGAAGACACGGAGAACCCTGATTTGAACTCGCGCGCACCACTTGCTACCCCCGATGACGAGGCCAGCGACGTATCTAACGCGTGTGACGTAAGTGTTTGTCTTTTTTGCCGCTAACCGATATTACCCTGATCGGGGGCAACTGCGTTTAGGATCATAGAAGAAGGTACGACGTGCTTGCGCTTGATTCTTATTTGTAACGTTTTTGTGTGGCGTGATTTGCTGTGCAGTTTCGTGTTCTCTTTGGTTTTGATCTGCTGTGTTTGATGTAGAGACGGATAGTCTGATAACTATTAGATACTAGGATTAGAGGAGAGAGTCCTTTGCACTCGTTGATTAGATTTTATAATTTCTATGTTTTATCGTGTTCATTTAAACAGGAACATTGTTACTTTATTCGAGTCTTTGTTTTATTCAAGTTAAAGGTTAGAGGATGCTACGAGTGGCGAGACTTTCAGAGTCTAGCCCTCTTTAAGTTAGTTTGAGGAGGTTCGCAGCAACGAAAGTAACTCTTATTCAAAGTTTCGCGACTCACGGTTTCAACGAGCGTCTTCTTTAGGAGCATCCAGGGTTAAAGCAGCCTCGGAAGCGTTTCTTACTGAAAGCAATCGGTCGCCTGCAGTGTTCTCGACGATTCACTGTGCTGTATCGACAGTGCGCCCGCGCCGAGTTACAAAGAGCCAGCGTTGTTCGCGTTCCTGCGCGGTGTTGAGTAATTCCTGCAAACGAGCCATTCTGGCTCGGTTTTCCTGCCGGTGCCTAAGACTAATTGCACTGTGGCCCGCGCTCCCACGCATATTTCGCTCGCGTAATAATTAATCTCATTAATCCGCCGGTTATACTGTAGCCAGGTACTCTCGCGTGTTTCGATCAACATTCGACGCTCGTGATGCCATTTTTCATCGTTGCCATTTGCGATTCTCTGCATTTGTTCCACGTTGTTCCATAGAATCTCATGTACAACGAATGAACAGCATATAAATACGAAATCGATTAAGGTATAGAAAAATTGAGGAAAACCGAACAATTAATAATGTCCATTACATCAGACACAATTCGATACAAACAGTAAGCGGTTCAACGCGAATCGCGCCATTACTTTCTCAACGATAAACCCTTGTTCACCCAATGAAAGAACATAAACGCGAGCAAAATGAATTCTACCGGCAGATCGCGGAGGATTATTAATTTACACTATTGCGCGGAGCGTTTCGTACGCGATACGTTCCGATGGACAAGGCCAGATAACTTCAATCGAGTCGTAAAATTCAAATAGACGGCGCCAACGGGAGAGCGACTAAAAGAGAAGAAGAGAAAAAAAAGAGGAACGCCGTCCATTCATTGCTGTCCGCGAATCTTTCCAGCGTTCGTTCCGCGCGTCGATTGAACTATCCGCGAACGAGAGGCCTGGGACAATGGCTGTCGTAGGATTGAATGGTCCCGCCTGGAGAACGCCGACTGGCGCGTCTAATTAAACGACAAAGGCGTAATTGGCCGGTTGACATCGCGCAGCCACGCGTAACCACTTTCGTTCTCCGTTATTTTCTCTCCATTGACACCGCGGCGCAAGAATACGACACGCGACCGCTATTCGACGCCCGGCAAGCGAATCGAGTTCACGGCTACGGGGCTGGATTAGTAGCTGCAGCCGGTAACAAGAGACGGAAAACACCAGTTAACCCTTTACGGATGAGAACTTTGTAAAATATTCAGAACCTTCAACAGAGAAAGCTAAGTTGCATATCGAGCTTCTAAATATTGACGAAAAAGAGAACTCCGGTTTTCCGTTTGAATAATTCAGTTGAGATCAGAATATCTGATGGGTCCGGAACGCTGATATTCGTCCTCGAACGGTTGAACGCTGTAAATCGTCGAATATCGGAGATACGTTAAAATCTTCTCGAAGACAAGGGAAGAATGCGGGCTGCACTTTCATTGCATCTCGTTCTTTGGCGCGTCGCTTTGCGGCGACTCGTAGAGAACAGGTCGCGAAGAATCTTTCATAGAACCTTCTTTCCGTTTAGATCACCGTTCCCACGGAATTTATCGTTTACAGTGTCCTGTAGGAAATTGGAATTATCCGCAGAATAAAATTCTACTCTGCTCGGTTTATTTTGATAATCGGTACTTTGTAACGTTGATGAATGGGAACTTGCTTCTAGCAGAAAGTAAAAGGTTTGAAAGACCAAAGGTACGAACGCACTCAATGCAAATTGCATATTATGCCGCTGTTATCAATGATTATACCTTAGAGCACCCGTTGATATAGAATAACACGGGAATTCTCTCTTATTTTCCATAAATCATTAATCCTTTACTCGAGAGACCTCTCGAATGACCATTCTCACTCACCATTTGATTCGACGCAACAACATTATAAAATCTATGCGTTAAAAATGTTCTCATTACTTATTTTCAAATAATGTTGTCTATATCTCATCGGAAAACGTTGAATATATCCAGCGGAAAAACTTCCGAGTGCAAAGGGTTAATAACAAAGTATCCAGAACGCGCGCAGTTCACAAAGAAATCATAGGGCAATGGGTTAAGAGTAAAAGTAGACGCGAACCAGAATAATCGGGGTTAGTCCGAAGAAAATCGGCCGAGAGTCGGAAAGATTTAGCGTCTGCCGCCACCGGCGGTGTTCCTTTTAGCTTTTCCCCGGCGTTCGGGCCGGTCAGGCCTATGAAGGCCCACGATCCGCGTCCACAGAAACTCGGGGATAATTGGACTGCCGGTTTTACGCGGTTAAACGGCGGCTGGTTCGCGTTGCGATAAATTTATCGGGCCAATAAAACACTTAATGGAGGCGATGAACGGCCGCTTAATTCCATTTTCCCGGGATCAGTCCGTGGACGCGCGGGATTTGCATAAACATCCGCGATCCGCCGGATGATAAACGCGAGAATGGATGCTTGTTCTTAATTGAATTTCGTGGGGCGCGGTCCGCGCGAACGGGCGAACCACGCTTTATGCAGCCGTGAAGCGAGCACGACATTATCAATTTGAATAATTCCTCGGCTCGCGCGTGTTCCCGGAGGCCGGTCGTCATTTTTCCTACCGGCGAATTGTTCCGGCGAGGTGTGCTCGTGTATTTATGGATTAAAGATTACACGAATCGCCGTATAAACGCGTGTACTGGTACGTGTGCGTATAGATATACTCGTACGCGCGAATTAGAAGTCACGTGAAACGAGATATTACCCATAAAATGTATAATTAATGCGTGCATCAACGCGTCGGTTGCTCGGAGGTTGTAAAACACGGACGGTGCCGAGTGTTTCATTGGATCGCCGAGCTATCACCGGGAATTAATTATTCCGTGACTGACTGTTTATTACGCTTTATCTCCTAAATGATAGAAATAGAAGACCTCTGTCGAGATTTCTTGTTTTCTCCTCGAATACTTGAGAAATACCGAGATGTAACGGATATTTATATATTTCATCGCTTACGAGCGAGAGGAAGATCGTTTGGCTTGTCAATTTCGTTATTGCGAGCGACTCTGTTTGATACGGTATTGATACTTTTATGACGGTGTAAACGAGGCTTAACACCTCCGACAAGTATACCGGCGATCGATGCTCGTAGTCGCAACAGTGTCAAGTTAAACTACGGTAGACGCACCTCGCGGCGACCCCGCTCGAAGTGTTCATGATAATTCACGGCAGAACGCCGCGTTGCCGGAAGTGAATTTGCTCGTTTATCAAGGCGTCGCTACGAAACCGAGTTATCAGCGAGGCCGGTTCAATGGCCACCGCCCGTAATCGTGTGCGCCGAGTAACCTATTCCGCTCGGAACTGGCTTGACCGAGATCGAGGTCGCGACAACGCGAGGGAATCGATCTGTCCACGGCGTTTCCGCCTGCGCCACGCTGCTTCGCCCCCTCTGTGTCTTAATTAATCATAAGAGAATAATAATACATTCCGTTAATCCCAGAGGAACTAATAATATTCTTATTCATTGACGTTTATTGTTTACTCCGATCTCCGAGCAATTTTTATTCGATAATTGCTTCGACAAGAATTCTTCAGGATTCAAGTTTCCTAGGATTGTTCGTTGGAAATTCGTATCTTACAATGTCCAACAATCTTTATCAAACTTCACATCTTCTTTCCAAATACCAAACTTCACTAGCAACTTCCACAATTTTCGCAAATCCCAAATTTTCTTCATATCTCTCAAGAAACTTCCATAACTTAGAAACTTTATCGCAAGTCCCAAGTCTCACGATCCAATAATTCATTCGCCACAAGGTATCTCGCTTAATCCGTTAGCTACTATTAGCGCTTAAGGGAGCTTCAAAAATTAGATTTCGTATTATTATCGCCTATAATTCAGTTCGCACTACTCGAAATGAACTGAGAGTCCATAGGCGCTCGTAGAATATTATCGACAATAATTGGAGCAACGCTGACTCGGATCAGACGTAAGTGAATTCCAATTCAACAATTACATCTTCCACTAGTCATATATCATTCAAATGCGATTACTTTATATTGCTTGAATTCAGTTCAATTCAGTATCTCGATTGCTTCAACCCTTTGCACTCCAATAACTCGATCCAGCACATACAAAATTATAAAATTCAACATTTAACGTTAAGCCTCGTACAATACATCAATATCTGGAATATTGAATAAAAAAGCTATGCTCCTCGATCCATATACACTGTCTCAACTTTCAAACCATGTCTGCGCCTCATCAAAGAAAATTAAATACTCCTAACGAAGTACTTCTAGAATACAAACGATTCACTTTCTTATAAATACGCGTTAACACAAAATTCGACGTTCTCAGTATAACTCGCAATTGTCTTTCCACCGTACGCCACGCACGGTACGTCTCAAAGTCTGCCCTAACCGAAGGGTTAATCGCAGAACACTTTCACAGCTCGAAAAAGTCCAGCCACGGACCGCCGCGCCGTTCATCCCCATTGTTATCTTCTCGAACGACCTTGAGCCAAGGCCCCAGGTTTCCAGGCCAGACGGTCGATGTGTGTCAGCGCGCGATTTTCCGAAACAAAAAATGCCGCGTGCACGCGTTACGCGAAACACGCTCGGCCGTTGATATCGAGGTCGATCTTTCGT